AACGTGGAATGAAAGAACGGTAATAGCCAACCAGTCCCATAAACCGCCTCACATCACGAACTGTCTCAGGTAGTGGCCATTCCATTATACAACGGACACGGTCAGGATCGGGACGCATACCAAACTTGTCATAAATATGGCCCAAGTAGGATATCTCCTCCATGGCAAAGTCACATTTAGTAGCACCCAAAGTTACCTTAGCAGCGGACAACCTCTCGAAGACCACACGAAGGTGCCGAACATGAGTCTCCATGTCCGGAGAGAAAATCAAAATATCATCAAGATAGATCTTGACGAATGGTAGGTCGCCCAGGATGTCCTCCATGAGTTTCTGGAAAGTAGCAGGAGCATCATGTAGACCAAACGGCATACGCAAAAACTCATAGAGGAGAAAACCATTCCCCGGACAAAAAGCGGTCTTCGGGATATCAGCGGCAGAGACGGGTACTTGCCAGTAACCAGACTTCAGGTCCAGAGATGTAAAGAAACGGGCACCCTTCAAGTCATCCTGCACAAAGTCAGGTCGAGGAAGGGGGTAAGCGGACATGTGGGACCGACGATTTAGTTCACGATAGTCCACGCAGATACGGACACCACCAGTCTTCTTCTTAACGTAGACACAAGGTGAACGCCACGGACTCATACTTGGCCGAATAATCCCTTCTCTCAGCATGTCATCAATCTGGCCTCGTATGTCAGCTTGCCATTTATGAGGTACACGTCTCGGACGCTGGGCCATGGGCTGCTCATCAAAGGTCTTTATATCATGAGTGACCAACGGACAGAACCCGATCTTATTGTTGAACAACTCAGAGAACTCGTTGCAGAGATCCTGAATAGGGCAAAGTTCGGGACGGTCAGACACCGGTAACTTGGGTAGTACAACATCGGGTTCCTCAGGGCCGGGCAGTAATGGGATCGCATAGTCATCCAAATTACCACCTATGTCATCATTCTCGAACTCATCGTAGATCTCTTGGTCTTCTGCAGGCCATTGTTCAAAACCAGTATGTCCGCCCTTCTTAGGGTCGTCATAAAATTCATACGGATCAGGGGGTTGCAGCAAACAGATAGGAGCCCCAGCATCAGCAAAAACCCTACGCTGAGCCAGGGAAGGACTGTCATCACCATCACCATCACCAAAACCAAGGTGAGAATAAACATCATCAGAGTATCGGCAAAGAGAGTATAGCGAGCTAGCTCCATTACCAATCACAACATCAGGCGGACTTTCACAAGTTCTGGCACAACGGACGGGGTTCTTGGGGACAGTCTCCGAAGAACTTGTGCTAGATGTGGATGGTACCGTCTGAACAGACTCATCAATCATACCAGTAGTCTGGGTAGAAGCATTACGGGTACATACACCTTGTGCTTCACTAGGGCAGATAGTCGGAGGGACGGGTAGTACACCCGCAAAACCAGTTGCTCCAAGTAGAGCGAAGGGCAACGACACAGTGTGTCGGACACACTCACACTCCTTGCATCAGGTTCCGGTAGAGGTTCACGATACCGACCCACCAGAGGGTCACGAGTACCAACCAAACGGACATAACCTTCAACCATCTGTAAGGACAAACCATAATGCCAAAGGAAGTCGAAGCCCAACAACATATCACAAATTAAATCTTCTACCACATAAACCTTAAATTCAAAACTTACACAGTTACTACCGGCCCGCGGCACGAAGTCGGAGTAAACATTACTACCATTGCCTACATTAGGCGAATCATACAACGTTAATCTTACAAT